CCCGACAAGCCTCAGAAAGAATCCTGAGTTTGTTTTATGTGTGTGTGTGTGTGTGTGTGTGTGTGTGTGTGTGTGTGTGTGTACAAGAGAAGCTACATATACCAACTCTTGCCACTGACACTATAACTTGTGGTCGTGTCTATGTGAACGACCACCACCTCAACGACCACCATCTATAACGACTACCACCATCACCACTACCTACACGACCAGTTGAACACTACGACTCAACCTAGATCAGCAGACTCTCTCTCTCTCTCTCTCTCTCTCTCTCTCTCACACACACACACACACCATGTACGTCAGGAGGGCGAAGCTTTTAGTTGCTGCCATGATCACGGAGCTGGGATAAGACCAGAGAGGGAGGGAGGGAGGGTTCCACTATGGTGCTCTTGAAGGCCATGTGGGAAGATTGGAGGCCATGGGGGAAGATTGGAGGCCAGGAAGATTGGAGGCCATGGGAAGATTGGGGCCATGGGAAGATTAGAGGCCATGTGGGAAGATTGAGGCCATGGGAAGATTGAGGCCATGTGGGGAAGATTAGGGGCCAGGGAAGATTGGAGGCCATGTGGGGAAGATATGGGGCCATGTGGAAGATTAGGGGCCAGGAAGATTGGAGGCCATGGGAAGATTAGAGGCCATGTGGGAAGATTAGGGCCATGTGGGGAAGATTTGAGGCCATGTGGGAAGATTGGAGGCCATGGGAAGATTGGAGGCCATGTGGGAAGATTAGGGGCCATGGACACACACCCTTAACAGACAATACCGTAAACAGACAGACAGACAGACAGACAACACCCGGTAAACAGACAGACAGACAGACAACACCCGGTAAACAGACAGACAGACAGACAACACCCTGGCACAGACAGACAGACAACACCCCGGTAAACAGACAGACAGACAACACCCCAGTAAACAGACAGACAGACAACACCCTGGTAAACAGACAGACAGACAACACCCCCGGTAAAACAGACAGACAGACAGACAACACCCCGGTAAACAGACAGACAGACAACACCCCAGGTAAAAGACAGACAGACAGACAGAAACACCCCGGTAAACAGACAGACAGGACAGACAACACCCGGTAAAACAGACAGACAGACAGACAACACCGGTAAACAGACAGACAGACAACACCCCGTGAAACAGACAGACAGACAGACAGACAACACCCCGGTAAACAGACAGACAGACAGACAGACAAACAACCCGGTAAACAGACAGACAGACAGACAGACAACAACCCTGTAAACAGAACAGACAGACAGACAGACAACACCCCGGTAACAAACAGACAGACAGACAACACCCCGGTAAAACAGACAGACAGACAACACCCCGGTAAACAGACAGACAGACAGACAGACAACACCCAAACAGACAGACAGACAGACAGACAACACCTAAATAAACAGACAGACAGACAACACCCCGGTAAACAGACAGACAGACAACACCCTGTAAAACAGACAGACAGACAGACAGACAACACCCCGGTAAAACAGACAGACAGACAGACAACACCCCGGTAAACAGACAGACAACACCCCGGTAAACAGACAGACAGACAGACAGACAGACAACACCCGGTAAACAGACAGACAGACAGACAGACAACACCCCGGTAAACAGACAGACAGACAGACAGACAGCACGTAAACAGACAGACAGACAGACAGACAACACCCCGGTAAACCAGAAGACAGACAGACAACACCCTGGTAAACAGACAGACAGACAGACAGACAACACCCCGGTAAACAGACAGACAGACAGACAGACAAATGTATTCTGAACAACAATGATACACTATATATATATTTTTTTTATGTAAATGTCTTAACTAAATAAATGTGAGTTATTATTCCCGTAACTGAGTCATGAACAGCGTCTATGATTTAATTTAGATAAACAAATGTAATTATCTGTTTTAATTATGAAGGTAATAAACAGAGATAATTAGGTATGGTGGTGTGGTGTGGTGTGGTGTGGTTGTGGTGTGGTAGTGGTGTGGGGAGGTAAGTGTGGTAGTGGTGTGGTGTGGTTGTGGTTGTGGTGTGGTGTGGTGTGGTGTGTGTGGTGTGGTAGTAGTGTAGTGTTATGTGTTGGTGTGGTGGGGGCAAGGTATGGTGCTCTAGTATGGTGTGATGGCGTCAGGGCATAGTGAAACAGTGATAGTGGCCTCTCTCTCTCTCTCTCTCTCTCTCTCTCTCGTAAAAATTTCACTGGTAACCATGGGAACGTGACACAACCTTGAGGAGGAATACGAACAGGAAGAGACACCACGACCCCCTGAGACTACGACCCCTGGGACTACCACCCCCAAACTACGACCCAATACGACCCCGAGACTACGATCCTTGACGTCCCTGATAACACGACCCTTGATAGCGACCCTGGGACCACGACCCTGACACTGATCCCTTGATAACACGACCCCCGGGACTACAACCCCTTGATAACGCCCCGAGACTACGATCCCTTGATACGACCCGCTGATAACACGCCCCTGAGACTACGACCCCTGAGACCGACCCTGACACTACATCCCTTGATGACGACCCCTAAGACTAACCTCTTGGTAACACGACTCCTGATAACACGAACCCTTGATAACCGACCCTGAGTTCTGACCCTGAGACCACGACCCCCTGATAATACGACCCCCGAGGCTACTGACCTCGTGATAACACGGCCCCATGAGACTACGACCCCCTGAGACCACGACCCTCTGAGACTACGACCCCTGAGACTACCACTGACACTGCGGTCCCTTGATAACACGACCCCCGAGACTACAACCCCTTGATAACACGACCCCCGAGACTACGATCCTTGATAACTTGACCCGCTGATAACACGACCCCTGAGACTACGACCCCGAGACCACGACCCCTGACACTACAGCCCTTGATAACACGACCCCTAAGACTAACTACCTCTTGGTAACACGACCTCCTGATAACACGAACCCTTGATAACGACCTGGGACTACACCCCTGAGACCACGACCCCCTGATAATACGACCCCTGAGGCTATGACCTCTTGATAACACGACCCCATGAGACTACGACCCCTGAGACACAGCCTCTGAGACTGCGGCCCCTGAGTCCTGACCCCCTGAGACGACCCCCTGAGACCACGACCCTGAAACCACGAACCCCCGATAATACGACCCTTGGACTATGACCTCTTGATAACACGACCCCATGATAACGACCCTGAGACTACGACCTCTTGATAACATGACCCCCTGATAACTCGACCCCATGACCAGGACCCTTGATAACACGACCCCCTGACAACACGACCCTCCCAGAGAACACGACTATTAAAACGACCCCTGGGACGACCCCTTCATAACCCACCTACTGCAGCAGACAATTGGCTAGCGGTGCAGAGATGGTATGATCAGTATGAGGAGTGTGTGTGTGTGTGTGTGTGTGTGTGTGTGTGTGTGTCGGGAGCCAGGCCAGGGTGTGTCACTGCTCGCTACACATACTTATTACTTGAGGTCATGTGCTGTACCATATGTGTTGTGGCTCAGTGATGGTGCAAGTGTTGGTGAAGAGAACAGTGTTGGAGTAAGTGATGGTGTAGAAGGCAGTGTTGGTGAACAGTAACAGTGTTGGTGAAAAAGTAACAACCACACCTCATAAAACCTTAACACAGTAAACAAATTAAATACCTTTGGTCCAGGTGTAAATTCCACTAATGAAGCTTTTACCTGAGGAAAAAAAAAACCTAATTAAGACTCAATAAAGGTGTTTTCTTTAACCTTCGTCATAATTCATTCCAGTTCAGTCCTTATGAGACACACTGAGTGATCGTATATGATGATCTGTACTGATTTTGAACGTAAATTTAAGAGAAACTAACCAAAATACAGTGACAAAGAGCAAGATGTATTAAATTATTAGTGAACTCATAAGGTTTTGTTGTGGCTCTGAAGGCGTCCAGGTGGTATGGATGAGGTGACCCCTTGAGTACGATGATTTGACCCCTTGAGTACGATGATTTGACCCCTTGAGTACGATGAGTTGACCCCTTGAGTATGATGATTTGACCCCTTGAGTACGATGATTTGACCCCTTGAGTACGATGATTTGACCCCTTGAGTACGATGATTTAACCCCATGAGTACGATGATTTAACCCCTTGAGTACGATGAGTTGACCCCATGAGTACGATGATTTAACCTCTTGAGTATGATGATTTGACCCCTTGAGTATGATGACTTAACCCCTTGAGTACGATGACTTAACCCCTTGAGTACGATGACTTAACCCTTAAATACGATGACTTAACCCCTTAAATACGATGACTTAACCCCCTGAATACGATGACCACCTGACTACGATGACAACTTGAGTATGATGACTTAACCCCTGAGTATGATGACTTAACCCCTTGAGTACGATGACTTAACCCCTTGAGTACGATGACTTAACCCCAAGACTTAACCCTTAAATACGATGACAACCTTAAATACGATGACTTAACCCCTTAAATACGATGACTTAACCCCTTGAGTATGATAACTTAGCCCAATCATCGAGAAATAGTTAACAAAACACTCCCCAGATTATTCTTGTATATATATATATGACAAAGTTTACCTGAATATCATCCAATTACGTAAGAACACCTGAGACATTACCTGTGCTGCCTTGATCCTGGTCCCGTCACCATCACTACACCTGGGGGAGAGAGAGAGAGGAAGACCAACTTAGTAACAGAATGAAGACAAAATGGATGACAAATTGATGTGTGACTTTATGATATCATGCATGTGCTTATAATATTGTTTTGGTCACAATATAACCTAAATAACTTTGGTAATATTCCTTCGCTGTGAGAAAATCCTGTGCTGGTAAAACTTATTCTGGTGTCATCTTTAAATAGCTTGCCCTCATATAATGTATTCACCCGGCTTCAACTCATCAGCTTAGTGTCACCCAACATAAGGATGCCTCGTCTCCTCCACTAGTTTCCTGCGGGGAGTGGCGGTGGAGGTGGGAGCTCTGCAGGAGAAGGTGGTGGCTCTAACTTGTGGGGGGAGGAAGAGAGTGACCTGATTCGCTCCTGTGCCGCCCTCAGTACAGCTCTAGGTGTCCACAAGAGCTTCAGTACCTCAGACATCAGTGGTGTTGGCGCCAGTACGGACGGGGAGCTGAGCCGTACCTGGGTGAGCGAGGTAAGTGTTAATGACCCGGGGTAGTGCAGGTGCTGTACATATCTCCCAACACCTTGTATATTAGTCTCCAGATATTCCTCCGCCATGTTTGTTAAGTAGTTGAGAGATAAAGTTTACTAGATAACAAATACAGTTATAATGTTCTCGTGTCTCGCTGAACAACTGATTTATTCTTGATGAACACAAATGAAGGTGCATGATGAACAGTCTTGAGTCCTTCCTGAAGTCATTATGAACACTGAAGTTTAGTTTCTCTCCGTCAATCAACAAAGAGTTTTACTGTAACACGCTTGTTTGGTCCTCCATAGCCCCTCAGTAGTGCCAGGTTGAGATGATACAATACATGTCATGTGATACTGACCTGACTGCTTGAGTCAGTTCCAGCAATACACCATCCCTCAGAGAACTCAATAAAAACATTATTTGTAGGGCAACTTTCTTCTGCAGATCAACGTGTGTGGAGGAGGAGGTCGACTGGAAGGGGTGTTCCTGCCCCGCCTCGACCCCACCTCCCGCTCCTGCTCCACCTGGGTCGCGGTGGGAGACGTGGCCTCCACCTCACAGCTGCCCTCCCCCCAGGCCAGGCCAGGCTCCCTCGAGAGTCCCGCCATCACCGCCGCAGACTTTATCAGATCCGTCAACAAGAAGGTAAGTGTTGTTACCTGAGTTGTTCCTGTGGCACTACTTTAGTTGTTCCTGTGGCACTACTGTTGTTACCTGAGTTGTTCCTGTGGCACTACTGTTGTTACCTGAGTTGTTACCTGAGTTGTTCCTGTGGTACAACTGCTGTTACTGAGTTATTCTCGTGTCTCTCTAATATATCTTGTTTACTATAACACTTAGCACTGAGTTTAACGCCCTTCAAAAAAATATCTTTACCATTTCGTGTGAAACAATATGACACAACGGACGAAGAATTTGGACAACCCTACCGAGACAACAGGATGCAGTGTTCATATTGAAATTCATCAACCTCCGTAGAGATACATTTTGGACTGTAACAATGTACCATGGGTCATCAAAAGTGACAGTAGTTAGTGATTAAGTCTGGACAGTGTCACTTTGTGTGTGTGTGTGTACTTCCCTAACTGTACCTTATACTGTCACAATGTACACTTGAGACAGAATAAACAAAAATAATAAATAACATTCAATATTCTTCTGAAACTTAATAAATTTGCTTTAACTTGAGGCGTAAGATGGGCTAACTTGACCCGGATCTTGTGCCACGAATATTCAGATTTTTGTCCTCCAACTAGTATTAAAAGTGAAGGTATCTCGTTATGGTAGTGTCTTAGGTGTAATTTTGTAACGTTATTTTAGTATTTTTATCTTAAGACTGTCTGTTATGTTCCTACTTCACTAATTACGAGGAAAATTCAACTCCTAAACCTCTGATATAATAGTTCACTAAATCCTCTTCATATCAACGTCCTCATCTCTTCACTTATTGACATGACTTTTATAATGGACTTATTTACTCATGAGATAATTTATATAACAGTTCTTATTATAAACTTATTATAGACATTAATTAAAACATGTATCAGGTTTGAGTATAATTTTAGTGTTGCGACAACGAGTGAGTGAGGCAAAACTGGTTTCCTCTAACACAACACAACAGGAACACACGAGCGGACGGCGGCATCTGATTGGCTGAGATACGCGGGAAAAATATCGTACAGCAGTATATCATATTTTTAATTTAATTTAATATGAAATTAATTATATATTCCATATTATATATCTTAGACAATTACCTTATTATTAATGTTGAGATTATAAAATTAAATAGTTATAAACATGATATATTATACAGTATGTTGATAAATTATTCCTACGTCAGGCAACGAAACGCGCCGAGTTAACTGCATCAGAAATTTAAATTATTATTAAAACATTCTCATTAATAACTGTACTATATTATCTACTTCCTGAGGACCACATAATGAATAATATTAACTAAACAAGTACAATCTGGCGTCCTAAATACTCGACGTCGATCACAAGAGGTCAGTCAGTCAGTCAGCCAATCAGAGCCGTCCTGCATACCTGTTTATACATGTTGACGACGACAGGGTACCAGTTCAGAGCGGCGGGAGAGAGAGGGAGGAGAAGAGAGAGGGAAGAGGGAGAAAGAGAGGTCGAGAAGCACACACACACACACACACACACACGAGTTACGATATATTCTTGTGTGTTCGTATTGCATTGGTATGAATATTAATATGAAAAACCAGTATGGAATATTTACGTCTGGTGTGTGTGTGTGTGTGTGTGGTGTGTGTGTGTGTGTGTGTGTGTGTGTGTGTGTGTGTGTGTGTGTGTGTGTGGGGATCATTGATCTTCACACGTTGCAACACCATAAAAAAATCCAAGTCAACGGGAAGTAAAGATAACCTTTGACCTCTGACCCTTGACACCTGACCCTCGACACCTGACCCTAGATACCTGATCCTTGACCCTCACCCTCGACACCTGACCCTAGATACCTGATCCTGACCCTCACCCCGACACTGATCCTGACCTCACCCTCGACACCTAACCCTAGATACCTGACCCCTGACCCCTCACTCCCGACACCTGACCCTAGATACCTGACCCTTGACCCTCACCCTCGACACCTGACCCTAGATACCTGACCCCTGACCCCTCACCCTCGACACCTGACCCTAGATACCTGACCCCGACCCTCACCCCGACACCTAACCCTAGATACCTGACCATCGACATTTAACCCTTGACCCTTGACCCCTGACCCCTTCACCCTCAACCCCTGACCCTCACCCTCAACCTCTGCCCCTCACCTCAACCTCTGACCGCTCGACCCGACTATCGACTCTGACCCCTGACCCCTACACCTCACAATCGACACAGACAAACTGAGACAGACAGACAGACATACGAACAGACACACACACCGAGACAGACAGACAACATACGAACAGACACCAAACCGAGACAGACAGACAGACATACGAACAGACACACACACGAAAGACAGACAGACATGAACAGACACACAAACCGAGACAGACAGACATACGAACAGACACACAAACCGAGACAGACAGACAGACAGACAGTGGAGACAGTCACAGACACATCAAGCCTCATGTATACACCACCGGCAGACAGACAATATTATGATGATGTCCGGGAGATTACTTACATAACAAAAGATGACACACACACACACACACACACACACACACACACACACACACACACACACACACACACACAGGACAAAAACATGAGACAGACAGACACACGGCTAGGCGATGACAACACCCCACCAGTCCTATTGTGTGTGTGAGAGAGAGAGAGAGAGAGAGAGAGAGTTATAACACGTCCCTCCCCTTAAAAATAATAGTATTTAAAGGAACTAAAGAAACACGACTCATAAAACTAACTTCACTCCAAGACAACTTTAACGTCCCTTTAAACCCTTTGGGGAGGGGTTAATCCCGTACACAAAGGGTTAAACCATCGTCATCAAAGGTTAAAACCATCGTCCTCAAAGGGTTAAACCATCGTCCCAAAGGGTTAAACCATCGTCATCAAAGGGTTAAACCATCGTCTCAAGGTTAAACCAACGTCCTCAAAGGGTTAAACCATCGTCCTCAAAGGGTTAAAACTATCGTCCTCAAGGGTTAAACCATCGTCCTCAAGAGTTAGAACCATCGTCCTTAAGGTTAAACCATCGTCCTCAAAGAGTTAGAACCATCGTCATCAAAGGTTAAAACCATCGTCATCAAAGGGTTAAAACCATCATCCTCAGAGTTAAGAACCATCGTCCTTAAAGGTTAAACCATCGTCCTCAAGAGTTAGAACCATCGTCCTTAAGGTTAAACCATCGTCCTTAAAGGTTAAACCATCGTCCCTAATTTAAACCATCGTCCTAAAGGGTTAAACCATCGTCCTAAAGGTTAAACCATCGTCCTCAAAGGTTAAACCATCGTCCTAAAGGTTAAACCATCGTCCTAAAAGTTAAACCATCGTCGCCAAAAACCATCATCGTCCTTAAAGTTAAACCATCGTCCCTAAAGGTTAAAACTCATGTAAAGGGTTAAAACCATCGTCCTCAAAGGGTTAAACCATCGTCCTTAAAGGTTAAACCATCGTCCTTAAAGGTTAACCATCGTCCTCAAAAGGTTAAACCATCGTCCTAAAGGGTTACCATCGTCCTCAAAGGTTAAACCATCGTCCTAAAGTTAAACCATCGTCCTGAAGGTTAAACCATCGTCCTCAAAGGGTTAAAACCATCGTCAAAGGGTTAAACCATCGTCCTCAACAACCATATATGTGTCACATCTCCCCAACACTTCAACAAAGGAATAGAAAAACACATCACACCGACACTCACACAATACATGAGTGTAGCAACGACAACAACGACAACAACAACGACAACAACAACAACAACAACGACAACAACAACAACAACAACGACAACAACAACAACAAAAACAACAACAACAACAACAACAACAACAACAACAACGACAACAACGACAACAACAACAACGCAACAACAACAACAACAACAACAACAACAACAACGACAACAACAACAACAACAACAACAACAACAACAACAACAACAACAACTGTTGTGTGTGTGTGTGTGTCAGTCCTCGCCTTCATGTCCCCTTTAGGATTTAACCGGAGAATCCATTAGTGATTAAATTCTTCACAACAATATTCATCTACTGTACATGTGACGGTATTTTACACACACACACACACACACACACACACACACACACACACACACACACAATGTTCATCTACATGTGGTATTATTGCCACACACAGGTTTCTTCACCATGGTGTAGTGCATTAGTGACTGTGGGGCCCTCAGCTACAGGGTGATCTATAGAGTGTACTAGTGACTGTGAGCTGTTGTGCCCCTGTCAGAGGTGATCTATAAGTGTACTAGTGACTGTAGAGCTGTTGTGGGGCCCCTACAGCTACAGGAGGTGATCTATAGAGTGTACTAGTGACTGTAGAGCTGTTGTGGGGCCCCTACAGCTACAGGAGGTGATCTGTATACTAGTGCCTGTAGAGGCTGGGGGACCCCTACTGAGGAGGTGATCTATGAGTGTACTAGTGACTGTAGAGCTGTTGTGGGGCCCCTACAACAGGAGGTGATCTATAGAGTGTACTAGTGCCTGTAGAGCTGTTGTGGGGCCCCTACAGCTACAGGGGTGTCTAGAGTGTACTAGTGACTGTGAGCTGTTGTGGGGCCCCTACAGCTACAGGAGGTGATCTATAGAGTGTACTAGTGGCCTGTAGAGCTGTTGTGGGGCCCCTAAGCTACAGGAGGTGATCTATAGGTGTACTAGTGCTGCAGGCTGCTGGGGCCCTACAGCTACAGGAGGTGATCTATAGATGTACTGTGCCTGTAGAGCTGTTGTGGGCCCCTACAGCTACAGGAGGTCTAGAGTGTACTAGTGCTGGAGGCTGTACCGTGATCTAGTCTGGCTGCTGTTGTGGGGCCCTACAGCTACAGGAGGTCTATAGAGTGTACTAGTGCCTGTAGAGCGGCCCTACCTACAGGAGGTGATCTAAAGTGTACTGAGCTGTAGAGCTGTTGTGGGGCCTCTACTGAGGAGGTGATCTATAGAGTGTACTAGTGCCTA